AACTCAAAATACGAATATTACGTGCATATGTGTTTTCGGTGCTGTTGTATGGGGTGGAGGCCTGGACCTGAAAGAAAGAGGTGAGCGATCGACTTAAAGCATTCGTGGACCTACCGAAAAATATTAAAAGTAAATTGGGTAGACCGAATAACAAATGTTGAGGTCCTCAGAGAGATGACAAAGGAAATGGAAATCATGAATACGATTAAGATAAGAAAGTTACAATATCTCTGCCACGTTATGAGAGGGGATAAATATCTCCTGGTTCAAGAATCTGAGAAAGTGGTATAATTGCAGTTCCATCAACTTGTTCAGAGCTGCAATCTCAAAAGTGAAAATAGCTGTGGTGATTAACAACCTACTTAGAGGAGACGGTACCTAAAGAAGAAGATAAAGACTAAATGACAAGCATTTTACCAGACAAGCATCAATTACAATTAAAAATCAAGTTCCGAATCAAGATTTTGTAACGAATACATTAATTCTTATGCAATCTCATTTTGATTATTATAAAATAGGTATTGTGGGTTAAGGTGGCAAAAACTGCAACTGATATTGGAGTACTAATGGTTGATTTAGATTCAATATTAAAAGGTACTTTAAGGAAAATTGTGAATCCGTTTAAAGAACATTTTTTTCTACTTGAAAATATATTTTTCCTATTTACTTACAGTAATTAACTATTTATAACAAAATACGTATTGATTTTTCTTCATATATACTATTCACTGGACAAATTACTGTAGTTGTAGGTGCATTATGAACCCCAGTAAATTTCTGCAGATATGCAAAATTAAGTTTTTAGCTAAATTAAATATTTAGCGACTTCTTGTTTTTTTTTTCTAGATACATTAATTCCTTTCATCAATTTGTTATTCAAGAATGCAATACTTATAAGATATTAATTCAGTGACAGACATTGCAGAAAACGCATAATTATGACAGCTGACGTTATAGCTGCCATTTTTCAAGAGGAGTGACTTTCAATAAACAATTGAAACAAAAGAAGTTTGATCCAATAATAGGCAAATTTAAACCTGACATTTCTTGGCGTATTATGTATGTTGATGTGATGAGAAAAATGCCAAATGACAATTAGAATAAAGACAGTGGGAATAGCTTTTGAAGAAAAAGGAAAAAAATACAGTGTCTAGAATTATAGTTTATTCGTCTTCCGGATTTGGACCGTGTCATTTGTGAGTGACCCAAAAGTGGGTTCATCTTTTGGGTCACTCACAAATGACACGGTCCAAACCCGGAAGACGAATAAACTATAATTCTGACTCTGGCCGTGGAAGCCTACGATTCCATTTAGTGTTTAGAATGTTCATTTATAAATTGATTTACAACTACAAATCAGACTAAAGCTTTGGATAGTGGAAAAATAATAGCTATCTAGCATCGGTATTAAAAAGCAATGAGATAAATATATAAAGATGCGTGGAGTAAAAATGGAGTGGGATGGATGAAAAAGAAGGACGCAAGTGATGTACTGTGTGGTAGAAAGAATGGAATGAAATGGAAAGACAAATTTATGTTATAGAAACGAAAATTCTTCGACGGATGATTGAAGTGACACGAAAAAATAGAGTTCAAAAGTAATTTATCATGGGAAATCTAGGCGTGGCACAAATGAATGCTAAGCGAACTAGGTAGAATAGCGAAACCACCATATGAATGAAGAAAAAAGTATGAAACAGCCCTAAATAAATCTTTGAAACAATTAAAAATTTCAACTTTCGCAAACAGTTTTTGATTTGTTAAACATACATTTCTTGCATAGTACCTTACAATATCCATGGTGCTGTTATCCGAGCGTTTACTTACTTTCAATTAGGATTTCAATACTACTTTGAAAATCTTCTTGAGTTAATTTTTTAATTACCCTTGCGGCAATAGTCTAACTATCAGGGGATCGTCGATTTAAGCTGAAATTTAAAATATTTATTATGTATGACATTCTTTCTTTATAATGCATTTAAACATGCGGATTCTATATTTCAATTCATATTTTTTCTATAATTCTCATTTGAAAATTTTATGTTGTGGCACAATTTTCAAATATGTCCTCCATCTTGATTGTGATGTCACTTGTCAACCAATGTTGCCATATTTTCAAAATATTTTTTCTTGCAAAATTAATAATTATTCACTGAGGAAATTATACAATTTCATTGTATAACTGGTAAATATTTGGTTTTTCTTTTATATTTGATCAATTATTAATTTGTTTAGATTACATGCATCGCATTAGATTTGGTCAGGTTAGCTTTTAGTCATTAAGGAATCTTTAAATGGAATTACATTGGGTTAGGTCAGGTTAGGTTAGATTATGTTTTGTTTTAGTCGCTAATAAATCGTTAAGGAAATTACGTTATAGATTTCATATGATTTTGTTCCAAATTTTATATTTTTAAACACTTTCTGTTGTAATTTCCGATATTTGTATAATTTTTTTTTTATTTTTTAATGGTTTTTTTCATAGTTTTCGAAACAAAAATCATGAAAAAGCTTTTTAGATTAAGTTGTTAGATTAACAATTGCATTTATAGAGATCCTCGGGTAGCTAGACTCTTACCAATCTTGCAAATGTTCATAAATTAGATTAAAGTATAAAGATGCTGTTTGTGTAACTTTTAAATAATAGTCTATTCTACCTACGAAGCGTCTTTATTAACGAAAAAATACATAATACAAAAATTATAAATATGCACAATATCGTCCTAAATTTGAATATATCTTTTCAAATTTCGGTTGTGTTCAGATTCTATATAAAACAGAGTATTTTAAAAAGTCCGCACCATGTTTTAATATTTCCATAATAAATCCCTAAAAATCCAGCACACGAAACACACGTTTTAAACTACTCTGTAGAGATAATATAAAAAAACATATGTAAAAATAACAAAATAGAATGAGTCAATCATACTAACAGTCACATTTTAACAAGAATACTAACATATTTTTGATAAAATGGTTTCTTGAGCAACTGGTACCTTGTCGGTTAAAAAAATCGATCAGAAAAATAAGATATCTTTTGAATATACTCCTTAGACCCTTCCCTTTATAGATATGATAAAGTAATTTATAATGTAAGTCGAAATATAGTTTTTTATGATTTTTGACTTTTACATTTTTAACAACTATCATCCCTCTTCAATGCTAGTCATGGGCCTCGACATGTGCCAATTAATGCCGCACATTCTTCTTATTACAATGCAAAATCTGACGGCTATCCAAGAGGGTATATGAGTGTCAAAATATTTAACAGTCAAAGCAATGAAAACACAATATAATCGTTTCACTTAAAGTCAGTTGTTTTGCCTTTTCTGGTTCGTATTTTTAAATCAATTTAACCGTCAAAGTACGCATTTGCTCCTCATCCTGGATGACAGATCTGGATACTTTTTCTCGCGATAGAGACCTAAATATAAGAACTAAAGTATTTGTCTCAATATTATGTACTTTGGACATATCTAACTACAAATTTTATCAAGGAGTACATGCATTTACAGAGCATGAAATAACAATGTTTTTTTTTATTAATAAGGCAGACAAAAACTTTTTCTTCGAGAACTAGTAAGCGTAGTAGTGGAGTAAATAGACGGTCCATTTAGAATTCGATATTTAAAAAATACCTACTCGTTAAGATTCTTTTAAGCTAGATTACTATCTCCTTGTTAACCAGGGCGTAGGTCCCATAAGCCCTTCCGTTATGTTTGTAATGAAAGTAGAAAGTATTTGAGTTGAATTTTTTGAAATGGATTGTCAACTTTTTAGTTTAAATAAACTGCAAGAGCTTTAGCCATTTGTTAAAGGACCAACTGACGATGTGTCAAAATTGGTATTCTTTTTCTAATAGATGACTAACGGTTTCTAAAAGTCCCAATAATTCGACAATTAACTAATGAGCCATTAACTTTGATACCTTGAATATTGATTAAATTAATTTAAATAACTCAATTTCCAGTAAAATCTTTTATTTTTTTCATGTGCTACAAAAAATCCTAAATATTTCCGACAGTATGGCAACACTTGTGAGAGGCTTTGGTCACGGGCCCCACGTTGGGCGCCAAAAATGTCACCTCATTCTTCCCCAGACCCTGGCAAGATTTCATTTTAAAATTATATACTTTTGCAAACTCTAGATTCAAAAATTGTCTATAAAAACACCTTAAACATGTTTTGGATATATTGCGTTATATATTTTAAGGGTCTACTTTCAATACAGTTAAAGCTCTCGTAATAGAGACCGTTAACCCTCCTTTTTTTTCGAAAAAAGGATGTAATACTGCGCTATAGGACCGCTTCTGTCAAAAAAAAAAACGTTAATTCCTATTTAAATTCATGAAGGACAGACTTTTACTGATCGGAATATATAAAATAAAACGTCTTAGGTACTTCAACCTGTTAATTAACATAGAAGAACAGCACTGAGCTAAAATGATCTGTTAACTAATGGTCACATCAACGGGCCTTCGCAAAACTGAGTATGTGTCATTTTGAGCTTTTTAAATGTACTTGTAGAAGTACTGTAGCGACTCCAGATATGTTTTTTCTACTTTCAAGAATTCGAAATATTTAAACTCCCTAGAAAACCCATTATTTCTAAAGTACTAGTCAAAAATACTTGCAACTTATTTCCTAGGTTTTTTTTTAAGTTTCTAATAATAGTGAAAATTTTGATTTTCATTTACCGGAAACATTTTTGTCTACCTTACGAGGAATATACAACGTATAATACTAGTATTACAATATTATTTAGTATTGTATACCTATTAAAATGAAATCGTATTGCTTCTATTGCTTCAATACAACCTCACATGCTAAATGATTATCATTTTATTTACAATTCTTAAACTATCCTCTCACTATTACACATTATCGAAACCTGATTTCAACTTTCAATCCTGCCTAGCATAAAATAATGTAGATTCAGTTGGTATTGCTACTAATTTTTTAACTTTTTTATAATTTTGCAACTGCCCCTAACCTAGAATTTATTTAACTGTGGAGAAATTCTGTGATTGGTTCTTGTTGGCCGACACCCAGTCTGTGAAAACATCCCTGGAAAAAAAGAAATACTTTTAGGAACGATTAAAAACACTATAAAGCAACTTTTTTAGGTATATACTTATATAAAATTTGTAATTCCGACGCTAGGAACAAAGAGCTAACAGATAACCTAACGAAAAGAAGAAGACGAAAAGAGACGAAAAGAAGAAATGACCCGACTTATAAGTGAGCGTGACGTCACTCGAACACTTGAGCAGGTGCAAACATCAAATGATGCTGCTTTTTCCCACGGTCGGTAAAATTTTCCCAGCCTCAAATGCCGCAACCTCTACTAATGAAAAAATTACTTGAAAGTTCAATAAAAAAAACATCAATTCAATTTGACCCTGAAATCAAGCGGTAATCCTTGCAGTGAAAGACTTAAAACTCTCATCAAAAGAGCGGGGATGAATGAGCAAGTCAAAATTTAATGGGTAATAGAATGGGTTATGGGAATGAGAGAATGTATACCAAGTCACAGTCATCAAACGACGGCCGATTCGCCAGATTTACCACCCTGCGACTTCTACTTGTTCCCAAAAATCAAATTCAAAAATTTAAACGAAAAATAGAAAATAAAAAATTTAAACTGTGAAATACGGGCCTTTATTCGTTTTCTTGAGAACTACAGGCTAGAACAGTTGAAATTCAGTCACATTTGTGAATCTGAACAAATAAAATATTATGAATGATCGAATGGTTTAAAAAATGGACGAAAGAATGATTGAATGATGGTAAAAACGCTTAAGTACCAAAAGCTTTTAGGCATTTAAGCAGTTCCTTCACTTTTCTTAGTGTTATCATGCTGAAGGTGGCAATTTTTCCCATTGTTTTTTCTCACGCCACAAATATTTTTTATTGGCGAAATTATTATTTACTATTACAATAAACATCGTATATTGCAATAGTAGTATTTGGCTGACTGTACACGTTTTTTTTTCTAACTAGCTCGGTCTTCCAGCAATCTCTAGTCAAGTGAAATGTTTGTTTTTTGGAGATCTGATTGTATGAAGATTACCCATCGCATTCTGGGACACCCAAGTGGGCTAATTCATGTGAAAATTTCATCCCAAACAAGTTTTTAGTTGTGCAGCCTATGAATGAGCCTTACTCGCCTTAATCGTAGAGATATCACCTGGACTACATCATTAGCATTATAAATTTCTTTTATTTTGGTACTTGTTCTGTATTCTATACTGGTTTGTGGAAATGTAGTGGTGAGCATTACAAACTGTCCTTAGTATTTTTTCTTTCAAAACGTCTGAGTTTTTCTTTAGTTGAGGTGATCATTGTCCACTTTTTGAAAACGATTTCCGGTTTTGATCGAAACATTGAGGAAGTAAAAAATGTAATTTTCTTTACAATCAATTGTGGTTTAATCCCATAAAATAAAGTTAAAACTATCACAACAAAAATGTTTCAGAATCATATTTGAAACGTTCAATTCTTTCAAAGGTATCGAAGTACAGTGTGATGTTTTGTCCCAATTCTGTTCTTTTTGTTTAAGCACATGTATTTGGCTTTCTCGTCATTGACTTTAACTCCAACTTTTCTGGTGTTCCTTCGACCTTATCGAAAATGTCTTTTACGGATCGGATGGAGTTTCTTTCTGACGAAGGACTGTAAAAAGGTTATGTATAAGTCTGTTAAATTTACAACCTTTCTCTAAAAGCTGTCTTAGTAACAATGCTTAAAAAATTGTCCTTGTGCCTCTTAGCAATATTGTAAAGATTTTTTCTTGAAGGATCTCTAATTCAATTCAATTTCCCCTTTACTTTTGGTATAATACTCTTGTACGATTCGTGTAATTTTAACGTTAGTAGAATTCGTGAAATGTGTCAGCTTTCCTATCAAAAATAACAAACAGATTCTAAGTAAAGGCTATGAATGGAAGAAGGGATGTACTGTAGCGTTTGAATTTTACATCTGTCAGCTCCAACTACCTTTGAAATTGGTGACGCATTGGACAGATTTAGAACAATGGACTAATAAAGTTTTTGCATTAAATCCGGATAGAAAATGAAAACCAATGTTTCCGAGAGTTCCTATTTAAGCAGATCTTGCTATGTGGATTAAGCAATATGGTGTTGTATTGTAAATGCAAGGATAAAAGTAATGACTGATGAAAATTCATAATCATTATTGAATGTGAGTGTAACTAATTATCTTTAAAGAATCGTATAGTTACTTACCGGCAGTGGCTGACGACGCATTCATTACTACAGTATTCATCTTCCCATTCAGGATTAGTTATGGCGGGGTTGGGACATCCGTGACGTATACAAGCATTTGGTCTCATTCCGGGACCTTGTCCAACATTAGGTTGGGATACTGATGTAGGGATGGAAGGGGCAGGGGCTGAAACGGGTGGGGAACTGGATACCATCGGTGGGGGACTCATGTGTTGTTGCATGTGGGGGGATTGCTGTTGCATATGACTATGGGGTGATACTGAAACGTGTGGTTGCTGTTGCTGTGGTGACATTGGTACGTGTTGCTGCTGAGGAACCTGGGTAGAAAAACGAATAAACTACATTAAATTAAAACCATCAAAGCTTTTGATAGCGAAATTTATATGGATATTTACGGGTTTCGTATCCGTATACTTAATGGGTTAAAATTATTCGAAGAATACTGTTCTACCTTGTTCTTTAATTAAAAATATAAAAAGCAATCCTCTAGTTTTCGATAAAAATGATACAACAACTTAAATCTATTACCATCATTCAGTTTTCCTTTATTTCTATGCTTAGTCGGATTCCCTAATTACATTTCTCCACAAGTTTCGATCTTTTTCGTTATTATTTCTATATAACATTCGTTACAAATTATAACTGCTACTAATATTGGTTGCTTGAAGATCTTTCCATAGATTATTTTGAGATCTATTATCACTGATGATTCTTGAGATCTCCCAAAATTAGTTGCAATTCATTGCAAATTATTATTTTTCTTCCGATCAAATTAACATTGGTAAACCGGGTATCTATAATTGATATGCTCTAAAATTAAGTGTATTTGCTTCAATATTGCCGATCAATATTTGAATTCAATATTTTTTGAAGAGCTTGACTAACAATTTAGTTATTCTGCTGTAAAGTCGGTACAGAAACCTTTGGGAATCATCTGATGCTATTAGCTGTCCTAATAAGTTTATCAATATTTCCAAAATAAAGTAAAGCAGATATTTAGACCATTTGTACATAAAAATCTAAGCATTAGATAGGAAAAGTTATAACATCTAAAACTTCATTGTAAGAAATTAGTAAGAAGTTACACGCATTGTTTATCTTATAAAGATGCCCATTGCTCTTTCATTCACTCCAATGAAATTGACAGGAAGATGAGGTATTTTTGTTATTTACTATCTTAAACCTTGGAAATTTTCTTCCGGCAATTTAATGGACCCACTTCTTAGGGAATATTTTCTCTTCCTATTGATACCTACCATGAAAGTTGATTAAATACTTCCTTAGGAAGTGGTAAAGCACCCACTTGACAAATTAAAACTTGCAAAAAAGTAATTGCTCTTAACAAGTTGGCACATATTGCTGCTGTAGAATGAGAGGTGCAAGGAAACAAAAAAGCAGACTCGTTGATAAAACGATTTTCTTCTTGTAGTGCCTATCCGTTTCGGATGTTGGCGACCATCATGGCAATCTGCACTTTCCACACTGCTGCTCTAAAAAGATTTGTGGTTGTTATGTTGAACCACGTTCGTAGATTTTTCAGCCAGGAAATCCTTCGCCTTACTGGTCCCCGTTTTCCTTCTACTTTTCTCTGCAAGATTAGTTGCAGCAGTCCATATCTTTCGCCATAAAACGATGCTTGAGAGAAACTTTTGTTGATCCAAAGCTATTCTGTGATGTCATAAAGATGCTGCAAGATATGAGATTCAAAAGTGACTGGAAAAAGGTCATACTAAAATACATGTAGAGCCACATGCAGGCACACCCATACAAGAAAACTAACAAACGCTATCGGTAGAAGACTCTTCAGCAACTTGACAAATCTCAATAAGCCAAAAGTAAAAACGGACTGAGAAAGCATATAAATTTACGGAGAAAGAATGTGATTCGGGTATACTTAGTGATCTAGAGGCAGACATAACTCCAACCAAAAATTTTACCAAAAAAGATCTTATAACTCCAGTAAGGAAGCTTCTGGCATTGTTAAAAGCACGCATAAAAAAGTTAAATAGGAAAAATACGCAGTCCGCTATAATTATCTTACGATCAAGATCCAGAGACTTTTGGATTTTGCTTAAAGACAGAAGATACTTCATTGCACTATCTGGTAAATTTTTATCTTCCCTCTACAGGTAACGCCTGCGTGATCCACGTTGGTGTGAAAAGGTGGATACTTCAATCTCTTTGTTCAAATCTCTTCAGAGAGGATATGAGAGGCTGATTTTGTTTATGGTATTTTTCACTCAACTGCATTAAGGAATAATCAGGGAAAACATGTCAAATTTATTACTTACCTGTTGCATATAACTATTGTGTTGCTGGGACTGTTGCATGTGTTGTTGCATATTCATGTGATTTGGCACAGGCCCCATTCCTTGCTGCATCATTCCTTGATGTCCCTGCTGTGGCGACTGTGGCATGCCGCCCATCATGGGAGGTTTCTTTCCAATTGGCGATTGGGCGGGAGGTGTAGCCGACGGCGGGGCAGACATGGGCGGTGACGGTATGGTACCCTGTGGTTGGTATGACGAATATTGTTGTGGAGCGCCGCCTTGGTAGTTCGGATAATTACTGTACATTCCCTCGTTCTCTCCAGCACCCTTAGATACTAAGCTCGCTCTGTAAGCGGCTAGAGCTTTTAAGTATTCCTTCTTGGCAGCCTCGGTTTTCTTCTTGTATACCTACGATAAAATATTTATGTCAACAATAAGGCAATTTCTTTTCGAGTTTATTTTTGATCCGAAAGAAAGTACGATAAAGCGGACTTAGAACAAGAAAAATTGGTAGTCAAGCTCACATAACTAACCATGTTAAATGTAGAAGAATAAATAAGATGTAAGCAGTGGATTAGTCTCATAAATCGAAGGACCACCTGTATAAACTGCCGGAATAATAAAATAAAATACAAAATAAAACTATTTAATCTATCCTTAAAAAATACTTGGCCAAAATATACCAATAACTTACACCTAATTACTTACAACTAATGATATTTAAGATAATTGCCGCGTGGAGTTCAAACTGTTGATTAAAAATGAAGTAATTATGCGCTAATCGAACAATCTCTTGTCAAGGAAGCAGCTAAACAACGACTACTGATTAAAAGAAATAATTATACAAGCCAGAAACCTTCTGTAAAGGATGCCAAACAACGACTATCTGAAAAGTTTCGAGATATTTAGTTTTTATGCAAAAGTTTCCAACAGGAATTTAAAAAATCCTAACAGATCCCTTCTGGGAAGCTTAGAAAGTAACTTTTTCGATAGTAAACAAATTTCAATACGGTTTACTGCTTTATTTACAAAATCCTAAGACATTTTATCGCTTTGAGTCCATAATAAGTAAAGAAAGTAGGTACGCCAGAGGCTTACTTATTGCTTGCTGAACTGAGAGTAAGGATGAAAAAAAACTCGAAATTCGGGCGTTATAAGAACGGTGTACATACAAAAACTGAAACAGAGCAACGTAAAACAACAAATGCAAGAAGAAATAAACACAAAAGTTAATGACATTGCAACACATAATAGGAAAGATATTGATACAATGTGGAACGAGATCAAATATGTATAAGTAACAATAACAATAAACAAAATCAAACAGGAAAGACAAATAAAACAATCATGGGTGACAAATCAGATTTTAGAGCTTATGGAGTAAAGAAGAAAGTTTAAGAATAAAGACACAGAAAAGTACAAGGAACACCACAGTACTTAAAGAAATAAAATTAGCAAAAGAATCCTGGCTGTTAGAAAAATGCTTAGAAATAGAGATCCTACGGAAAAACATGATATATTCAATATGCACAGGAAGATCAAAGAAATGGCAGGAATATATGGAACAACAATGCACACTGCACTGTTTGATAAAGATGAAAACATACTATTCAATACGCAAGGAAAACTGGACAGATGGCAGGAATATATAGCAGAACTGTTCAGTGACAACCAACACATTGAAGTATATGACAACGTCGAGAAACAACAATAACAAAATCAGAAGTAAGATCTGCTATAAGTCGTCTAAAAAACAACAAAGCGCCAGGACCTGATGGAATATATGCTGAGGTATTGAAATTGATAGAAGCCAATCAACTTGTGATTCATATGCATGAGTTGGGGAATGATATGACAACGGTGCAAACTGCGTAAAAATAATAATTGTTATTGTTATACTTTGTGGTTCCTTTCACATAACTATACCGATAACTACTGAGACAATGTTGCCCCGAGATAGATATGATAGCCATTTAAGAACTTTGTTAAGAAGAAACTTAAGAAGATTCTCTGAGGCTTTAATTTTAAGCAATACTAAAAAAATTCAACATTTTATCGAAATTGCTATTAAAAAAACCTTTTGTCACGTAAAGGACAACACGGGCCCGTCGGACCTTATTTGTATATATACCAAAGCCTAAATCTTTGTTACAGAAGTTAATCTGGCAATCCGGTAATGTTTTGTTTATATCTAAACTACTTTTACGATTCCGGAAATCCAATAGTAAAGTGCAAACGTGTAACAAACAATATAAACATCTCTTTGATGTGAGCATCAAATAGATGCTTACAATAGGTATTATATCTATTCTAAATGAATTTTAAAAACTGATAATCATTGTTGGAATGCAATAATATTGTAAGGTAGGTACGTATACATATTTTGAAATAAATAATGCATCTACTATTAGTAGTTTGATACCGATGTTAGTGTCGACAACTTACTAAGCTCCTAAAATTATATTGAATTAGTGAAAGTAGATAGTACTAATAAAATGTCCCGAAAAGCATTATCAGCTGCAGAACTGCAAGATATTGCTAATAATTTTTGGGATTCCGATGATGAAGAATCTCCTGAAGTAGGTGTCATTGAAAGTAACTCTGAAATTGAAGATCTTTCGGAAGCAAGTAAAGGGGATGATCAGCAAGTGGTATTGAGTAATAATGAGGAAGAATGTGTAGCAACAAGTTCCCAGATTTCAGAGTGTGTAATTTTTGAAACTAAGGATGGAATTAACTGGAAGAATCAACCACAAACGACAGGACGTACGCGATCCTGCGACATAATAAAAAGCAAAGTGCACAAAGTAATGTTAGTCTTTAGTCACAGCGTAGATGATCCTGTTGATTCCTTTTGTTTGTTTGTGGACGAAAAAATTGTGAATGAAATAGTGAAGGGTACAAATAAAGCAGCCGAAAAAGTCCTGGGGATAGAGAACTGAAAATATTGCGACTCTACATAGCTATATGCCTTTATTGGACTACTACTAACTGCAGGGCACCTGACTGCCAACATCTATAATGTAGATATACTTTGGAGTGAGATTTATAGACCTACTATATGTAAAGCTCCCATGGGGTTAAAACGATTCATAAATTTGCTAAGATTTGTTCGATTTCACGATAAGGACACGAGGTCTGAACGAAGAAGGAACGATAAATTAGCAGCAATACGTGATGTGCGGAATCAAGTCAACCAAAACTTTCAGAAATACTATTTACCAGGAAAAAACATAACGGTACATGAGCAACTTGTTCCGTATCGAGGTAGGTGTCCTTTCAAGCAGTATATGCCTTCAAATCCATATAAGTATGGAATGAAAATACAAGTCTGTGACCCGGAAACATATTACTCTTTAGGTGGAATACCATACATAGGAAAAAATGGAAATACAGTAGCCAAAGGTCTTGCAAACTTGCGTCAAGTTGTAAAGCAATTCGTTGAGCCTTATTATAATTCCAAGAGGAATGTGACTTGCGATAACTATTTTACTGATCTTGTTCTTGCACATGAATTACTGACAAATTCACTAACTCTTGTGGGCACAGTGAAAAAAAGTAAGAGATTTGTTCCTCGGGAAGTTCTACCAAACAAGAACCGTTTAGAGAAATTTCCAATTTTCGGATTCACTCCAAAAGCATCTCTTATTTATTACGTTTTATTACGTTAAAAAACAAAGAAGTGTCCTAGTCCTGTCTACCATGCATCATAATGCTTACTATGCAGATATTGTTGACAAAAAACCAGATATGATACTCTATTATAATAGTACAAAATGTGGTGTCGATACGTTAGACCAAATGATAAAATGATGAAAAAAAAACCAGATATGATACTCTATTATAATAGTACAAAATGTGGTGTCGATACGTTAGACCAAATGGTTCATAAATATATGTGCAAAAGACCAACTAACCGTTGGCCCTTTTCTTAGCGAAAAGCAAAAAATGTTTCTTCAACGACAGCAGAACAACTAGTGTTACCTCAAAATCTGAGAAGAAAATCAAGGGGGACAAAACAATGGGAAACAAAACAGTCTATTGAAAAATGCTTACAGGAAATTGAACCACAAAATAAAAAGTCAAAACTAGAAAAAAAAATAGTATTAACAATTAAAATGTGCCCAACAAAAAAGGTCAGGAAACAAAAACAAATTTATGAAAAATACAGTAGAAATGTGTGTAACGATCACTGTATAATTTAAAAAGTTGGTAAGGATTGTAGTAAAGAAAAATAAATGACTAATCTATGTTTTTTTATTTTTATTGTGTTCTTTAACCTAATACTTAATAATAATTTAATTAGTCATATCAATTTGCTATTCTAGTTAGTTCAATAGTAAATTGATATGACGAAGTATTAATTTGTAAAGATTGTTTTTGTCGGTACTTTATACATGAGCTGCTAATTACCATAATCTTTTCTCAGAAGGGTTTTCACACAATAATGAAAGGCAAGAACACCGTAATTTTTCCAGGGTACGCGTAAACACCAACCCCTCTTTTCAAATAAAATGGCCTGGTAGATTTACAAAAGTTTTTATATATTTATATTACTTGTGAATAAATATTTTTTCTACAAAAGTTTTCTTCCATTTCATTATTTTGTGCAAATTCTTCAGGTAGATCGCACCCTCGAGGTAGACCCCATACTATAGTAGCAATTTTTTTTAATCTAGACAATTTGAACTTAATTTTAATAAAAAATCAAAAAAGAATATAAGGAATATATGGGTAAATATAAATAGTACATTCAAGAATAGTGGTGGGCCCAACGGACCCGAGTTGCGCGATTGTGTAAGTAAAATGTGTTGCTCGGATAAGGATTAAATAGGTCCACTGAAAAGATGGTGAAAAAACACAATATTTAAAAAAAGGACCTTCCATAACCAATAGGAACCAAAAAAATGACAACTTTTTTCTTAAAATCACATTTCCGTTGTTTATTACCTTGGTACACTGCACTTAAACACTATTTATCTTGAACTCATAATTAACTTAAAAATAGACCGAATTACGTGCCCAAATGCATCCGTTCTTAGAAGTATTTAATGCAAAAGTGATTTCTTCGGAATAGTTCTTCTCTCGAGGTCAATGCACAGAAAGTAATCAAATAAAACATAATTAAGTTTAATAAAAAGCAGCCTTTTAAAATGTGTGTGTGGTCACTTAATTAATATGAACATCTGGAAACAATTAAAATATAAATAAACTCATTAAAAAAGTAATTTTAGTGCCGTTAATTGAAAGTCCTGGGATGAAAGAGCTCGAACTGGTACATCTTTGTTGGTCATACAGGATGAGTTATGTAGATTTGGGTGATGTTTGTGATTTAAAATGTGGGACGGGTGGCTTTAAATGGCTTTTCATTATATAAAAAATTACTGAGATTACAAACATAAACAACGTTTTAGAAAATCCCAATTTTTCGTTTTATAGAAACCTAGCAAGAGACAATCAAATAATACTGTTGCCGCAGCATAAGACTGACATATTTTGGGGATCACGAAAGATGCCATAAGGAAAGAAAAGTGGCTAGAGATAAGTCACAACCAGAAATAGGGAGAGCAATACAGGACAAAACCGTACAAATAAAATTATTAACAACACTAAAAAGAAGCTTTCATCTAATTTAATGGATCTTATCAGTCGGATCAGTGTTCCAACTCTGAAGAGTGGGATTATTGTGACAGGGCCATTGACAAACTTGCGTGCTAGGCAAGGAATGTCGGAACTTCAAGAGATATAGTTGGTACCTCTAACTAGAAGGGATACAGCCCTAGAGCCTTTCAGGCATAATCCCACGGGTGATAGTTTCGCACCATTACCCACTTGAGTACAGGTTGAAAAATTCCACTTGTCTCTGACCTTGAGATGCGTAGTAGTTGTCGACGGATCAGGATAGGAAGACTCCCTCTCAGCGGCGAGATAATATTTTCTGTATTTGTTACCAAACTATTTCCTCTTCATTTGCGCACATTATTGCTAAAGTGAAAGAGGACCGTCTATATTTAAGTAATTAACACATTTGTAAGCTTTTTGTTAAGTTCACATTTAAAAAATATGTGGTTTAAGTCACGTGTTATCATAAAGTTGTTTGAGTGATGAAACGGAGAGAGTTTCTAAGCAGTCCGATCTTAGATAAATGTGCAGGAAAGTTACTATTATTTAATCTTGGAAAAATTAGGGATGAGAAATAAAAGAAACTAATGTAATAATCAAATATATGTGGGATATTTTGAGGAAGTTGGAGATATACGTAAGTGTATGGATTCTTCGACGTTTGGGCAAATTTGCGCAAAGTTGTTTCCTGTTCCCTTCTTTGATTCCGGAATGTCCTTCGCCCAAATAAATACCAAGTCATTACTATTCTGTAAAAATTTATTAATTGACTTCTTAATATGGCATAACAATTCATTGCTACTGTTAAATGGACCATGGTAAACGTAATACAAAAGGAAATAAGACACTGCAACTACATGTCTTTGCCAATTTAACGTCTAAAATGACATGAGGCAGACATATATTGACAAAATAAGTATAAGACCAATAGAAATCCTTAAACTCATTGTAAAAAATTACTGGTTTCATCAAGAGTACAGTACTTTTGGGTAAAGCTTAATGTTTACTACAAAGATATGAGCACCAAACTCCAGAAAAAAATAGTACCTGAATCAAGAAGAAAAAGCCTACTAGAAAGCTTTTCGTATCAAGTCCAGATGTTAAATATATATGATATGCCTTGTTTCATGTTAACCTTTAAAAAATATGATTATAAAGTTACATAGCTGTACAGTAAACAATGCAACAAAGTACATTTAAGTACAAGGTACAAATAAACATGTATGGAGCTAGTCATACAACAGTTAAATAAAGAAGAATCTAGAGCATGGAATCTAACCTTGATCTAAAAGACGATTTATTGGATTTATCACGTTTGTATTAGAACAATTATAATGCTGAAAAGTATACTTACATTTTTGTGTTCGGAGTCTAGAGCGTCCCACATGGAAGCCACAATTTTAGAAACTTCACCAAAGCTAGCGTTTGGATTCTGTCCTTTGATAGCTGCTTGAGTGTCACGAAAGAAAAGCGCGTACGCTGAAACTGGTCTGCAAAAAAAAAACATTATATTAGTCAAGGAAGATATAAACTACATAAAAAATTGATATTTTATTAACTATTTAATATAGGTTCATTTATGAAATATTTTTAGCCTGTTTTGCTTTTATCAAGAAAGTAAATTTACACTACAACATGAATATTCCTGAATATTCATGTTGTAGTGTGTGTGTTCATACCGAATCAAAACAAAATAAACGTGACAAAATGTAGGTTCTATTCTTTCTGAAAACATTTTAATAAATAAATCAAATTTAATAAATTAACTTTCAGGTGCCTTCGTACAATTATGGATCCCATCAAAAGGCGAACCACTGCTATCCTTAAATTGGCAAAAGATATTATTATTTAAGAGTCCTTAACAATAATAGATGACACAGACAAAGAAAATGTTGTTTCTATACATCCTTCGACCGCCAGTCATGCCCACTGCAGCAATATAATGGATAATCAGGGAGAAAATAAAGAAAATCTGTATCTAAAAGTTACGTCGTCGCCAAATCTTCTGTCAATGGGATCCAGTAACGGTCCTCTTACAGAAAAATTTATTAATCCTGCATCTAACGGAAATATCAATTTAAACTTTGAATCAGGCAAACTACCAACCGTAGTATCAACAAAAGATAAGCATCATACAGTTCTGAGCGTCCCACTAAATTACATTTGCGAAGATACGAAGATAGCCACAAAGAAAATTTCTAAAGACTTCTCCCGTACAAACTGAAGAAATTGATGCAGATGATTTGGATGCAGATCCAAACTACAATCAAAGAGCTTTAGCAGTTTCTTTGAAAGTGATTTGGAAGAAGAAAAGGAAACAGATGTAATTCAGGCTATAAACTTAATGGATGAAGGTTTGATTGATAAAGAGAAAAAAAGGAAAGAAAAGAAAAGCAGGACCTGTTACATGGGATGTCAAAAAAACTAAACTATTTAGAAATGTATGCTTTTGTTTTTTAGATTTAATGCTCTCGTAAACTTAGTTAGGTCAAAATAAACTTTTTTTATGAAACTAAGTGTCTTATTCGAATCAAAATTATCATCGTAAAAACGTCATAACTCAAAACTTCGTCTAAATTCAAATTTGTAAAACTGCCACTTTTGCAGTATAAAACATTAAAATTGAACTAACTCAAACTAATTGATTAATTAGTTAGTATACTTTTCATGAAAACGTCATAACTCAAAAAATTGTATTTTTAAGGTAATAAAAAGCAGATACCAAAGAAATCTAAACTAAATGTTGTTTTTAAGACCAAACTACAGCTGGTTTTAATTTTAAATCGTTTAAATATCCCATATCCAATGAAAAATGCGTTTTTTTCTTCTCACCAAAAACTACATTTTTTGAGTTGTGTCACTTTTGAAGCAAGGGTGCGTTATGCCAAAATACGTTGATTTGATCATAATTACGTTAAATCCAGAGCTAACTATGGAAAAATGATATCAAAACAATAATATTGTCAGTTAAGGCTGTTTTCTCGGTGCACCAAAATTTTTTCTCTGTTATTTACCGACGAAATGTCTCGAAATTTGGACATGTTATACGAAATTATGTTGCTTTTAAACTGATGGTTTTACTTTTTTTATTTTTTTGAATTTTCTGTTGAAAAATTGGATTATACTGTTTAACGTTCTATTATAACCAAACTTTTCACGCCCATCAGTTGAAAGAGTTTTTTTTTCTGTAGTCGTTGATTCTTTTTTCACCTTTCTGTGTCCAGTAATAATCGAGAAAAGCGTATTCAAACTTTGAAGAAAATTGCAAAAAAAATACTGAAATCTAATAGTGAAACGTGTTCCTCATCATTGTCGCTGAGCTTGATCGTTATCGCATTAGTGACGTCAAATCACATGAGCGTACGGTACGGCCTTATTTTTATTTCTCTATGGGTACGGTCAGTTAGTTCGTTTGAATTAGAATCCATTTTAGTTCTTTCATTCTTGTATTTTCTTTATCAACTTGCTTAGTTTTTACAGTTTACAGTATTCTTATTTATTTTGAAAACATTGAAATTATTTAGTTTACGTGTATGTTAAGTAATATATTATTAGTTTAGTGGTATAAGTTAAAAGTTCACGCGTATTTTTAAGTATTACATTAGGTTAGTGATATAAGTTATAAGAGACAAGATAAAAAATGAGTTCCAGTAAACGTCCTATGTCAAGGAAAAGGAGAGCAATTGCACTGCTTTAGTATTTATTATTTATATTATAACCGTTTTTAAAAGCTTTCATTTAACTTTTTTTAAACATTATTTTTAATGCAGCGTGCTGCTGCATTAAATATACCTGTGATTTCCTACAGGCAGTATGCAAAACATACAGAAACAGTTGCAGATATCATCGGCCAAACACTTTGTGATTCCTTAGAAGAGGCTGGACGGGAGGAATTAGCTTTAGCCAAAGAAATTGGTGAAGTAGATTCCGACGGAAATGAGTTAATAACCGTTATAGCTGATGGTGCTTGGTCAAAAAGTTCGTATAAAGTAAACTACGATGCTTCTTCAGGTGTAGTACCTGACGTTGTAAAATTTATTAAATTAGTACGCCTTTGATGGATAGGACATGTAATTAGGCGAGATGAAGATGAAACGATCAGAAAAATTTTCGACCGAAGAGGACCAGTGGGAAGACGATCCAGAGGAAGAAAAAAACTTAGGTATCTAGATAACATAGAGGATGATCTAAATTCCGTCGGAGTTAAAGCATGGAGAAAGTTGCCAGAGGCAGGGGCGAATGGAAGATTGTTCTGAAGAAGCCTTTGGCTCATGACGAGCTGAAATGCCACTGATATGATGAAATAACTATCCACGATTTGTGTTTTATTCATCAATTGGATACTTTTCTTATGTAACTGCAACCTATAAATATATATAAATAATGTATATTCAATTCAGAGAACTTTTTCCTCGCAGTGCGTCGCCTCGAAATACTTGCCAGATAAATACATTTACTATTATGATGGTTTCGCAGGTACCAATTTTTTATAGATAAATAGAAATATTTTTTGTTTAATTTTTACTACGCTAATATCAGTTTTCTCTAACAAATATTAACAAAATATTAATTATATATTAATATAACAAAATTTAAATTTATTATAAATAAACACCATGGTGTTTTTTGCAGTCACGTTTCACAAATTTTTATTTAATACTATGTTTAGCTAAGACATATAAATTAAAAATGTGATTAATTCTTTTTAAAACATCTACGATAATTAATCTAAAAAAAGTATTCCGACAAAACTAATTTGAATGGAGAATAATGCATTTATTTTAAACAACCCGTGGGCCGGCGCCACTGAATAAACATCCAAACTATTAGGAAGTCACGTAGGGTCTGACATAGCAGTGTAGAAAAGTAAGTGATACGCCCACTTCAAATCGCAATATGCTATAACTGCGAAAACAGCCTTAATGTCAAATGTATTTTGTCGTATTGTAAAGCTTTTTGCCGTTTGTGGATTGTATAAAGGGTCGAGGTACAGTTATCGATGAGAAAATTTGTTCAATCATTATTAGATTTTTAATTCTGGAAAATCCAATTCGAAAATTGCGAATATGTTGCAATTGTCACGTTATAGTGTGAAAAATGTAGTCAGAATATATGATTTACCTGGTGTAAACTCTATTTGGTTGTCGCCGATTTTTATTTTTGTATTTTGCTCTATTTTTTTTTTCAGTATCGTTTCCTATAGCCCTCTCATTAAACAACAAAATAATATAAAATTACACAAAGTATTTGGATATTAAAAAGCTTTCAATTGACTGTTTAACTGGATGAACACACCTCAAAAATGAAATCAATAAAAGACCTATGCGTAAAAACTTCATTTAAAGACTTTAAATTAAAATTTCTTTAAAAATGGTCCACAGACAGTAAAAATAAAATAAAAATTTCATAGGCATACTCTTGAAAATATGTTTGTGTAAGACACGTTACAGATCCCCTCCTCCACTCTCTGCAAGTCTCATTTCTAACACGACGTCTATTGATTTTTCCGATGTGCTATTAAATCCTATTAAAATGTTGAAATGCCATTTTCCCCAACTGCACTTCGGCTTGGGGTGCGTCGACGCCACTTTGGAGAGGGGCGGAGACAGAGACGAACTCGTTCGTACATTAACAAATGTTTGTTCAATGTTAATTGATGTATTGTGTGTTTACATGTATAAATACAACTATATTTATTCTAATATCAGTATGATATATTGTTTCAAATTAATTAAGGTTTATATAGGTAAAAAAAAGTAATGGCTATAGCGGGATGGATGGTAAAATCTACACTAAGTAGGTTGTGGTTGGCCATTCGAAGGTACATATTTAGACACCCTTTTGGCAAAATTTTTGGTTCCCTAGGTGGGCCCTGAGGTCCCCTATCGCAAAAAATGTGTTTTTTCGAAAATAATTTTTCCTGAACAATCGTTTGCTTTCAAAAATCTAAAAAAATTCACGAATACACATCGCACCCTCAGTGCAAGACTGCAGTAAGTCAGAATAAGTAAGTTTCGTGATAAAGACGATTTTGATTATTTTCGTGCTAATATCGGTGAAATAAGAGACAAGTTTTAAGAAAAATTAACATTTAATTATGATTTTGCATGCTTTTCAGCCTATATTATATTAACAAAAAATAGAAATTTAAATAAAATAATATTAATGCTAAAAAAATTAGGAATTTCAAAGTTACAACACTTTTGCACGGAGAAAATTGTTAATCACTACACATTTAGTATTACAATTTTAAAGTTACTTTGTAAAACGGAATTGTAAAAAGTGTAGACACATTTTCTGTTAGTAAAACTGTCAATATTTTTATTTAAATTCAAAACAAAAGGACTATAATAAAAAATATGCAAATTAGGTTACCTTGAGTACAGATATTAACAGAAAGATTGAAAACTACCTTAGTAAAAGTTGGGAATTACAGGGGGACAATATGATTAGACAATCGCTCCGGAAGGTTACATGAAGATTTTAACTA